GACGTCACTCATCGTGCTGTGCACGTTTGTGTTTACTATGTATGTGATCCTTGTCTTCCATCATTACCCACTGGTACAGGAGATACTGGCAGACCTCCCAGGCAAGGCCTTTCCGCCGGCAGCCTGGGGTCACGGAGGAACCATTTTGTGCGGTATTTGGAAGGTCTATCAAAGAGAGGAATAAGTTTTTTTATAATTTTTTTTTAAACAAAAGATAAGGAACGGAATCCTTGCTGGTCTTGACGATCTTACATATCGGCCTTCCAAATCTTAGTGCCAAATTGGCTTCGAATTGGCATCTAGCGCAGGTAAAGTGTTGAACATGGCTCCAAGTTTCGGGGCAGTCAACTTATTCTCATCCTATCTAAATCACACACCACACACAGGTAGGGGATAGGGTAAGTGCCTGAAACATATCCGTCCACCCATTTACCCTTCCCCTTCCTCTAGAATTGGTGAGGAATGATGAGTAGTACGAAGTTTTAATGACGAATCGTCATAGAGCCAGCACAGCAGCCATGCCGAGGTTTTCTGGCTGAAATTTTGGATCATTTCCTGCGTTTTGCCTGAACCATCCATACCTTTCACTATCAATTAGCCCACATTTTTTTTTCTGTGTTTTGTGGTTTCTACCATTGGTACAATCCTATGATATCCCTTGGTAGATGAATCTTCAGGGCCGGAACCCTTATTGCTCATCCATCCGTTGCTGGGTAGGATTCCATCATATTCTTTGTTTGTGTTCGCTAGATAGGCCTCGAACCTCGCCTCCATTCGCTCTTTTCTTATTTTAAATACCATCATCCACCCAGTCATCTCCGTTCTCTTGACGTTCCTCCATCAATCCTTCATCAGTATCTCTTAACTGCCATCTTCTATCATAACTACTTTACCACTCTCCGGATATACAGACGAAAATAAGAACACTTTCCACCATCAGAATGAAAATCCTCGCAATCATCGCTCTTGCGTCCGGAGTGGTCGCTCTTCCCCAATTCGTATCTCCGTGGGGCTGCCTAAATTGCCCAAATACTACTATTACTACTACTTCTCACGGAACTAGCGTACCGCCTACTAGCACCGGAATGACAACAACATTCCCGATACATACTCTCACCCCTGCGACTACCGTTCTGCCTATTCCAACACCAACTAGAACCCCCCATTCTCCAGCATCGAAACGTGGTCTGCTAGCTGAATTCGGCATACATTGAATGATGAAATACAGTCGCCAGCGAAACTATCACTCGTTGGCGTGCTGCATAATCTGGAACAGGCCCGGCAGTTATTCTCCCTCGTACCTTGTGGCACCACATACTCTCCTTCAATCGTTGTTATAAGAAAATCTCAGTTGGTCCCGTGTCTTGTCTTGAAAGAGAGGTTCTATAATGTCACGGAAGTGCGGCGACTCAATTATACAACTTGTTGGTTGTTATTTTGACCCTCCTTTTTTGCCGTATTTTATCCTCCTTTTTGAGCCTTGCCATGTTTCGCGGCGGGTTTTGCATGATTATGGACGACTTCTAGAATAATCTCCCTCTCTCCCTATATCAAAAAGAAAAAAAGTATCAGTATCAAATTTAGAATTAGAGTTACAATGGAAGTCTATTATAAGCGGTTTGATCTACAATTGGTCCATGAAGGTTTGGGTCAGGGCCAGATAATGGATAGATATAATTGGTATTATCGATCCGAATGAATAATAGCTAATTCTGAAGCTTGCTGATAGGCCAATGAGGGAAAATAGCACGAGATTGGAAGTTTAAAGGAGTCAAAGCGCAGGTACTGTCTTACTGTCTTAAGGGACAGGGGCAGAACAGACCCTTAAACTATATTCGGCCTAGCGTTTGCAAATGGCGAAGCTTATTCCAACGTCCACTTTTCCCGACGATTTGCATACCCACTCGCTTTTTCGAGACAACAAGAGCTGAAGCTTGTTCAGCGGGAACTTCCGTTGAGCTACGCATGGATCATCATCATTCTCGCTTTTTACCTTCTGACGTATTTCCGTTGCATATTCCGCGTGGCAATTGAACCGTGTAAAATCTGGCTGGGATGTTTCGTTAGCGTTTGTATCACTCAATGGCAACCATCATAGGGGTTCTGGATCTACATCGTTATGGGAGCATCCTCATTTAGCGGAAGGGAATGTCAATGGCACCAAAAGTTTCCATTGTGACTCGCAGTATCTGATTGAGTCCGTTACGAAAATGTTCTCCAGCCTCAATGACTGAGACCAGTGAAACCAGAAGTCTGGGTTAAACCCCCTCGGTGATGACATTCTTACAGAGCAGATTGAGGGGTAACTCAATCCATCAAGATTTTAGAGCTTCCGAACATATCGAGTCACATTCTAGCCGTGTGTACATAACATATCTTCGGGTGTCAAATACCTAACAGAAGACAGCTCGTCAATCCGTTGGGACGATATTATGCTTACGTCTATTGGAACTTTTATCAGAAATTCCCCCAAACTCTCGTCTTCAGAGGCTATTATTCCTACCATATTTGTCATAACTTCTAACTAGGCCAGAAACAGATAATAGCTTTGAATTTTTATCTTCTCGCTCCCATTCATAAGCAATTAGGCTCTCCCCATCCGGATAAAGTGACTCCGATATCTGTCTGTGGTGCTGCATGGTCGAAAAAAGCTCTCAATAACGCACGTAAAGCATAAATCGAACCACCCTATACTGGTACGCCTTCCGAGGCCGCATACAATCGGGGATGCTGGATATTTATCCTGTTACGGTTCTGTTTGCTTGTCTAACACATTCCCCAGATTTCCTACTTATTACCTTGGCAGAAAGAATTTTCAATCTCGCGTTCCATGGAACCCGTTCTCTTCGATGGATAATCACAATTAAGCTCTAAATCTAAACTCAATTAGCCCGTTGAAGCATGAAAAAAATTTTTGTGTGTAGGAATAGGAGTACAATCTACCAGTTGTTGATCAGTCACCAGGTGATTCCACCACTAAAACCCACTTCGGGCATTTCAAGGTCCTCTCAGATATTCAGTAAAATCCCTTTGCTTTGTATGATGATATTCTTCAAGAGCTTAAATTTCATATGACTGTTCCTACACCAAGAGCTATTATTATTAAAAGTGAATATAATAAATAATAACTGAGATAGTCAAGCTGTAATATCAATTGATTTTGAAGTATAAAAGGTAAATATTTAACTAAAGACTAGATAGTAATTATATAATCCGATGAGTATGTTGGAGCTACTACACAAGCCCTAACTGTGAAGAAACATCAAAGAATCTGATAACCTCTGAAACCTCTCCAACACTGATAACCACGCGAAGATCATGATATCAAGCTCTAGAACGCGAAGAGATGGCAGATCAACAAGATGAAGCTGCAGTGCTGAGGCATTGTATTGCTTAGTTAGATGATGAACTACATCAGATGAGAGCTGCTGGCACCTCTGCTGCTGCTGCTGCTGTTCATGATGGCAATGAACTAAACTCTGACCTTACTGCTCATCTGCATGAGCAAGATAATATCCCTGTCTTAAGCAGAGTTCTTCAAGCATTCTGAGAACATGTCAAATTTATTCAAAATCAGATCTTCTAAAATCAGCATCTGATTACTCAATTTGTGTAACGGGCGTACTTCGATTAACGACTAACACTATTCTATATACAGTTTACAAATTGATTAAGGAAAGAAAGAAAGAGAAAGAAGATCAGAAGGAAAGGTTGTACGAAGGGGGTTTTTATAGAGACCACAGCTGTTTAAACAGTGCTGTCCCTGCCAGATGCTTGAAATGAGCTAACCTTCCACCTCCATCAGTGTAACTTAGTAAGAATTGTGATCAACAGAGTAAAGAGAGTATGTACGGGATGCAAAGAAGTGATAGATTTGCTACTGAGATTGTAAATAATCTTCAAGATCAAGTATACATTACTCAAATAGTAATCTAGTTGGCTTCAATTGATATTTTTAGTAGAGATTTGATGGATGGAGGTTGATTAATAGAGTGAGTGGAGGGGGTGTTGGCCAAGGACAGATAAATAAACGGCGATAGAAAGCAAACAGGGAAAAAGACTACCAGTCGGTTCACTTTATAGACTTCAGTCATTCTCTCAGCTCCGCTCATACCATCCTCCGCTTGTCTTCTTATTCTTCTATCATATATTATCCTAATTCTTTCGAATACATCTATTGTAAAATTTAACTTCTAAGCCACCTTCTCAGACTTCATGACTTGGTTGATGCTATCTTCTAATAACCCTTTATTTTATTCTCTGGACAATGTTGAGACTAAAGAAATAGAGGTAAAGCCTCTAGTAGACTTGGAGAAGCAGATACATACATTGTATACTGGAGGAATACGATAGCGAACCAAAAGGGAATATAATAATAGCCAGGCGCTTGAGAAGCACACTACATCAACGCAAATAGTAAGGCTCGATATAAATTTTGTCATCAGAGTCCAGTAAGAAATATTACAAATATCATGATCATATCCAAAATAAAGTATATATATAAATATAGAAGTCACTTTCAAATGCATGTTGCAAAAGTCAAAAAACTTTGACAGGCAAACAGCGCTTGAAAAAGGATGAAAGAAAATAAATTACATGATGAAAAGAGCGCAACCAACAACTGTCAACGTCACGGTCCACTTTCCACTGAAAGATGTTGCCGGGGAACTGCCAGTGTACATCGGTGGTATCGGGCTTGTTGGGTAGGCTCCTGATTCAGGTGTGCTTGGATAACTAGGGGCTGGGATCGGTCCGGTTGAGAAAGTTGAAGGCTTCCAGCTTGCTGGAGGGGTTTCGACAGGATAGCCTGGATTAACTGGCGGTGGTGCAGTTGGCTCAACACTGTGTGAATTTGTACCACACCCTATTCCTGCGCAGTATGTTGTAGTATATGTCGTTGAGATCGTGGTATATCCCGTCTGGCAAACTGTCGTGTACGATGTAGTTATTACTGTAGTGATTGTTGTGGGAGTAGGATATATAATCCCAGTGCCCGTAGGGTGGGCGGACTCCGTGTTAGTAGGGTAGATATCGGTTGGGTAGGCGGTCGGGTAGTGATCACTAGGGTAGGCGGTCGAGGAAGCAGTTTCACTGCCAGTAGGATACGCAGTTTCAGTAGGGTAGGAGGATTCGGTGCCAGTTGGATAGACAGTGGGATAGACAGTTCCAGGACTGACAGGGTAAGTGCCAGTAGGATACCCAGTGGGGTAGTCATCAGTGGGATTTGCAGTAGGGTAGGAAGTCTCCGAATTAGTAGGATGCACAATTTCGGTGCCGGTGGGATAGACAGTGTCGGTGTCAGTGGGGTATACAGTGCCAGTGCCGGTGGGATAGACAGTGCCAGTGCCGGTGGGATAGACAGTGTCAGTGCTGGTGGGATAGACAGTGCTAGTTCCAGTAGGATAGACAGTGTCAGTGTCCGTGGGGTATACAGTGTCAGTGCTGGTGGGATAGACAGTGCCAGTTCCAGTAGGATATACAGTGCCAGTGTCCGTGGGGTATACAGTGTCAGTGCTGGTGGGATAGACAGTGCCAGTTCCAGTAGGATATACAGTATCAGTGTCAGTGGGGTATACAGTGTCAGTGCTGGTGGGATAGACAGTGCCAGTTCCAGTAGGATATACAGTATCAGTGTCAGTGGGGTATACAGTGTCAGTGCTGGTGGGATAGACAGTGCCAGTGCCAGTAGGGTATACAGTGTCAGTGCTGGTGGGATAGACAGTGTCGGTGCCAGTGGGATAGACAGTGTCAGTGCTGGTAGTGTATACAGTGTCGGTGCTGGTGGGATAGACAGTGCCAGTTCCAGTAGGATAGACAGTGTCAGTGTCCGTGGGGTATACAGTGTCAGTGCTGGTGGGATAGACAGTGCCAGTTCCAGTAGGATATACAGTATCAGTGTCAGTGGGGTATACAGTGTCAGTGCTGGTGGGATAGACAGTGCCAGTTCCAGTAGGATATACAGTATCAGTGTCAGTGGGGTATACAGTGTCAGTGCTGGTGGGATAGACAGTGTCAGTGCCAGTAGGGTATACAGTGTCAGTGCTGGTGGGATAGACAGTGTCGGTGCCAGTGGGATAGACAGTGTCAGTGCTGGTAGTGTATACAGTGTCGGTGCCAGTGGGATAGACAGTGCCAGTTCCAGTAGGATATACAGTATCAGTGTCAGTGGGGTATATAGTGTCAGTGCTGGTGGGATAGACAGTGTCGGTGCCAGTGGGATAGACAGTGCCAGTTCCAGTAGGATATACAGTATCAGTGTCAGTGGGGTATACAGTGTCGGTGCTGGTAGTGTATACAGTGTCGGTGCTGGTGGGATAGACAGTGCCAGTTCCAGTAGGATATACAGTATCAGTGTCAGTGGGGTAGACAGTGTCAGTGCTAGTGGGATAGACAGTGTCGGTGCTGGTAGTGTATACAGTGTCGGTGCCAGTGGGATAGACAGTGTCAGTGCTGGTAGGGTATGCAGTGTCGGTGTCAGTAGGGTATGACGGATTGGTAGAGGTCATCGATGATGTTGAAGGAGGAGCGACCTCGTATAAAATCCTCTTCATATGATCCGCGTAGCTGAGGCCGTTCCATTGATTGTTTTCAGAGTAAGTTGCTTCCCAGATCATAATACCTCCAAAATTGTTCGGGTATTTGGTCATGAATTCTTCTGCAAGAGGCTTCACCTCTGACGGCGTGAGATAATACATGTCATCAACGGCAGCATCTACGCTACCTGGCAAGCCAATATAGAGTCTCGCGGAAGGGTTGGCGCTTTGCTGAATGACTTCAACCCAAGCATCGAAGGAGAAGTCGGATGTTTCAGGATTAGAGACCCAACTTCTCGCGGAACAATAGTAGGTATTGTAAAACTGGATAAAAATGAAATCAAAGTACGACTTCGTTATCGGAACTGCCAGCTGTTCATCATCAGGGGGACATTGCGGAGCGGCAGAAATGTAATATTTCCTCTGCAAGTCCTCCGTGAAGCGATGCCTTAACCGATCAACCATTGTAGAATAGCCTATCTAGTTAGCTATAATCTTTCTTATCGTGGCAGGAAGGCCATCTCACCAAAGTCACCATTATATTCTATGTCGAAATCAAATCCGTCAACAACAACATCGCCAAAGGGGCGAGGCTTATTACCCCAAGCGACCGTCTTGGGCCCAAAGGCTCCCCAAAGGAAATCGGCAAAATCAAGCGCGGCTTGATCGGTGGTAAGTTTATAGTTGGAGGTGGCACCACCACCCAATGAAAGCAGTATCTTTTTTCCCGCGGCCTGACAAAGAGGAATGTCCTCTGCAATCTGGTGGCAGTCCTTGAGAAGTTCTGTTTCGACACCATTCTCATTTTATACATCTCTGACGAACATTG